CGTTTGATCGTTAATATCTCTCTTCCCAAGAAGTCTTTTGCCTTGCTTCAGGTACCGTTTTGTAGAGCTGGCTTCAACTTAGATTTGCATTATAGAACGAATCACCCATCTTTCATCATTACTGTAGGATTACGGTAGAAACTTCAAAGAGGGTTTTGAGCCATGAAAGGCCATATTTTGCCACAGAAAGGAAACAAAACACTTTGAAAACTTTTATGCTAGGCTAATTAGAGTTGCTGATTATAACTGTAAAGTTCCCAACTTATTATGATGCTTCATTGAAGAGTTATGCCAGGTAAGAAGTAGCGGCCATTTTTTCAATGTTCCTAAAAAGTGGGATTGCACCGTTTAGAAAGCTTTGTAATCTTGTGAATAGTCAATTATTGAACTCAGCGTCCATAAAAACCCTATTACACAAGTTTTCACGATTTTTTGAAAAATTTTGAAACGGCAGCTTTTTTCACATTAACACCATATGTTTCAAGTTTCTACCGTAGTCCTACAGTAATGAAGAGAGATGAATGATTCGTTCTATAGTGCAAATCTAAGTTGAAGCCAGCTCTACAAAACGGTACCTAAAGCAAGGCAAAAGACTTCTTGGGAAGAGAGATATTAACGATCAAACGTTCGATACATACTTTTGGGACACCCTGTATATATATGTATATATACAGTGACCGCCAAAAAGTTGCGGACAAGCCTCCCTCCCTTTTTCATCGTTCTTTTTCAGAGGGAAAACAAGGATGAAAAAACGTAATAATTGCATGAGGTGATAGAGCTTTTCAAGATCTACAATATACACTTTGAGTTTTTTGAGAAACATGTATTCTAAAAATTTTAAGAATTTTTTTCTAAAAAAAAGTCCGAAAATGGCCGCGTCACAATGTCGCGGACAATAATTCTTCGAACGCAAAAATTTTCTTTTGAGTCCTATTTCAAAGCGGAAACACAAGTTATTTAAAGGGTAAGCATACTACCGTACAGAGCTCGTCAGGGACTACACACAGGTTATGGTTGCTTCCCCAAAAAGCGCAAGCTTGAGTTTTATTTTGCTTTTTTCAAAAAACAACTTCTAATTTCCTTTATCAAGCCAAATTTTCTCACACGGAAACCTGTTCAAGACATTCCAACAAAGCCGTCTGGATAAAGTAGATGCTCTTTGCCATCCTCTATGCATCGGACGTGTGCTGATGAGTTTCTTGGCTGAAAATGGTCCTTGGCAGTGCTTGCACATGACCCCACCTGCACCTCACCACTGACTTGCACCGCTTTGCAGGCTTGCAACTCGGCCTGCAGTCTATGTTTGAGCCTGCAATTAGGCTCATTCGAAAGAACGAGACTTCCTCTACAGGACTGTATGCAAATAAGTTCAGTTTGAGCAATCCCAGAAATTTGGCGGATAGGGTGGAAGAGGGCAGCTTCAATTGTAGGCTAAGCACTTTTCAGCTAAAGTTGAAGAGAGCTCCTTTCGCTACCAATTTCATGCTGGAAGTTCAAAACTGTAAGTTTTCTCGTAGTAGATCCATTTCGAAGCTCTAAGACTGTTTTGGTGTTCATAAGAGCCCTCACTCCAATCACCTCTAAGGGTGCACTTTTTCACCCCATCCGCCAAATCTCTGAAATTTCTCAAACTCAACTCATTTGCACATCATCGTGTCCAAGAAGTCTCGTTCTTTCGAATGAGCCTAATTGCAGATTCAAACATTGACTGCAGGCCGAGTTACAAGCCTGCAAAGCGGTACAAGTCAGTGGTGAGGTGCAGGTGGGGTCATGTGCAAGCACTGCCAAGGACCATTTTCAGCCAAGAAACTCATCAGCACACGTCCGATGCATAGAGAATGGCAAAGAGCATCTATTTTATCCAGACGGCTTTGTTGGGATGTCTTGAACAGGTTTCCGTGTGAGAAAATTTGGCTTGATAAAGGAAATTAGAAGTTGTTTTTTGAAAAAAAGCAAAATAAAACTCAAACTTGCGCTTTTTGGGGAAGCAACCATAACCTGTGTGTAGTTCTTGACGAGCTCTGTATGGTAGTATGCTTACCCTTTGATAACTTGTGTTTCCGCTTTAAAATAGGACTTCAAAAGAAAATTTTTGCGTTCGAAGAATTATTGTCCGCGACATTGTGACGCGGCCATGTTCGGACTTTTTTTAGAAAAAGATTCTTAAAATTTTTAGAATACATTTTTCTCAAAAAACTCAAAGTGTAGATTGTAGATCTTGAAGAGCTCTATCACCTCATGCAATTATTACGTTTTTTCATCCTTGTTTTCCCTTTGAAAAAGAGCGATGAAAAAGGGTGGGAGGCTTGTCCGCAACTTTTTGGCGGTCACTGTATATATATCGTAACCAATTGATGATTCATTCACTATTCTGATCAGCTAATAAACTACTGAATATTCTACGTGTGTCCGGTTCGACCCATCAAGACAACGACTACAACATCTTGTAATAACAGTCTACAACTAGTTTGCTTGTTGAAGGCCGTGTGAATCCGTATTAATTGTAGTTCAAAAAGAAAACCAAAATCGAAATTACCTGTCTCTGTCAGCATTGTATTTACAAACTGGTAGCGTATCTTAAGCAGGATTTTGTTCCGATAGTTCAAGCGCAATTCGCTTTATGAATTCCATGACAAACAGAGTTACAGAGGCAGAATAAGCAGACGGCTTTAGCGCGTTATTATAACAGTATTGTAAAACGAGGCGTACGTGCGCATAATCGCAGACCATTCGTGTCGACTTCATAGCCCGCCACTTGGCATGCTTGGTGACAAAGAACTGAAAAAAATCTGATGGTGATGTGTGATGTGCCCTAAAACCTCGGGCATAGTTTGCGCTCAGACACTCTCACCGGCCGGCGATCAGCCGACGACGGCCTTCCGGCCGGCGGCCGTTCCATTATTTAGGGCGGGGCCAAACGCCGGCCGGCCACCGGGCGAGTAAATCACGCCGGCCGGCGTCCGTTCCACTGTGCAAAAGCTCGGAACGCGCACAAGATTGCGCGTACAGTAAGAAAATATTTCAAAATTGGGCGCGTTGTGACTTTCAAGCAGAAAACTTTCCTTTATTGGTTTTCCTTTGTTATTTTGGGGTTTTCCACTTGGGTTGCGTCACTTTCTATGTCCGAATTTATAGTTGATGTAACCCATTGTTATGATTCCCCTCATTTCACTCTCTTTTTCAGATTTGATCAAACTCCATGGTGCTCGTTGTATCTTCTTTCTTTATTATTGCTTATTTTGACTTGAATGACGAAAAAGCCGAAAGTCAGCGAGTTCATGCCTATTTGCTGTGACGTGAATTCTAGGTAAGCGCCGCATCACCTTTTGGGTACGAACTGAAGTACAAACTAGACGTCCACAAGTTTTTTAGGAGACATCTGCAATACATTGTGTTTGGGTCCTTGCTTTTATGATGGAACTACAATGAATGATTGACCGCTGCCAGTTTAACACTATTACTCGTGATTACGAAACATTCGTGAATACGAATATGGCTTTCAATGAATGCCCCTTTTACAATCCTCAATGCTGCGAGTTGTGGACTATTCCTGCTTTGCTGAGTATTCTAATTCATCTAGAGATCGTTGATCTGTTGGTTTCTGCTAAGTCACTATGTGATATACTACCGAATTTCTGCTAACCTGATGCTTACGGCTGCTCAAAGCACTCCAAAAGATGTAAGTTTTCCCTGACTAACATTTGATTAAAATTACCCAGTGTTTTCTAGGGACCGATATGATCATCTGTTCTAACCATCTTCTGTGAACGCATATCTTTTGATATTGCTCAGTTAACAGACGTTATCGCTACTCTATGCATAGCTGTAAGTTCTAGTATAAGTTAAAAATTGTCAATAGTTTATTCCATTTACAAGTTATCGGATGCGGCTTATCAATGGTTTGTGGCATTCAGAAGCACGAAACAAAATTATGTGACCTTTTAGCCAATCCGGAAAGGTTGTCCAACGATATGCAAACCAATTGCATCACATGATATCATCGTATATATGGGAAGTCACTTGCTCCTTAGTTTTCACTTGCTTTTTAGTTTTGATTGTATGTATGGAAAGTCACTTGCTTTTTAGTTTTGAATGTATTTTTCATGCATATGTGTACAATGTGTCAATGTTTGTTGTTTGTTTAATGTCCCTTTGCATTGTACCTTTTGGCTGTAATAAATATGTTGTTATATATTCGTACCACACCATATTCAGGTCAACAGAGCTGAAAGAGAGTTAGATAGAGAGAAAAAATACTGTGGTCCAGTGCTATTCTATTGCGCCACTGACGCATGCCGGCCGGCGGCCGTACGGGTACCGGCCGGCGGCCGTTCGAGTACCGGCTGGCGGCCGGCTGGCGATCGTCCCGGCCGAAATGTCGGTGACGGACCGGCCGGTCGTGGAACGGCCGCCGGCCGGTGCGAGTGTCTGAGCGTGTCATCGCCTCGCTGTTCTCCCAATAAAACAAATTACGAGTCCATGCATGGCGACCACCTTGTTCGGTTGTGATAGTCAGTTACGATTACTCTTTTCGAAGAGCTATCGCAACCGAAATGCAAGTTGATGAGCATGCAATGAACTGGATCAGTTGTCTTGTTGGGGGGATCGCGGCGGTGAAATCGCGTGATATATGCCCGGCCTAAGGCCCCGCAGACTTCACGCGATTTGATCGTCGCGACTCAATCGCCGACATTTCCATTCATTTTCATTTCACATTCAAAAATTTCAGGCTGGAAAGGCATCACAACCGAAATGCAAGTTGATCGGCATGGAATGATGTTGTAACAATTGTCTCGTTGCGATTCAGTCGCGACGATCAAATCGCGGAAGTCTGTCCGGGGCCTAATGAAAAATGGAGAAACTTAACCCAGTGCATTTTCCTTGCAAAGAAGATGGTTGCACGTGAGAATGGTGCAGGTGATCCTCATTTCTCCTGGATCTCTGCGATCCAAATTGATCATGGAAATAGCATCATAAGCATATGTCGTCTTGAGACCCTTTCAGAGAGACATCGTCCATACCAGTACTTGTTGACTGCCACTGAGCCACTCTTCTTCTGTTATGGGAGCCTTTAGTTTTTGCAATCGACAAACATTGCTGCGGCAAACTCGTTCAATGGTACCGTTTATGATGCGGACATCCTCATAGTCAGGATATGGCTACAACATTTTTTACAGCATTTACTGTCGATGTAGATGTAAATGTAGGAGACTTACTTCTTTTCCATAAAGAAGTTTCTTGAACACAGGAGCGAAATTCAGAGCTGCTTCCTCAGCCGTCTAAATTCCGCCAATTAAGTCACTAATCTATTTGATAGTATGTAGAGAAGAAAGCGAAAACATCAGAAAAAAAGTGGTATCCAGTTCTCAACAAATTTTTTCACCATGGAGTTATTCTTTATTCACTTCTGGCGCCAAAAAAGGCAAAACTGGAGGAGGATACAAATTAAAATCGTTGATATAAATTCGTTCTTCACGTTAATTTTGGTTGGGTGTCGTTACTGGTGGGTGTGGTGCGGAAGGCGACAATCCCCAATTTTGTGCCTATCAGTAACTCTCCTCTGTCAAAATGACACGGCGGGGGACTACGGGGGTGGGGAATGGGGGCAGATACATTACTCAATGCCACAAGTAGAAATTCGTGAAAGTCATTGAGGCGATGATACCTGCCTCCATTTTTGCGTCAATTGTCGCCTTCCGCGTGCCCCCCGTTACTGATAACTCCGCAAGGCTAAGTGTGTACATGAAAGGCATTCAGTGCGATGTGTAAAAGACCCTGAACTCGTTTTTCTTTGTGCTCTTGTAATGCCATCAGCGCGACCGCCACATTTGGATTCATGTGCCGTTTCTGTTGGAAGACAAAATGGTTGTTTTTGCGGGAAAAACTTGCAGGAAAAACATCAGAATAGTTAAAAGTTGTCCATCCAAGCTGCTTCAATCCTCAGAGTATTGTTTCGTTTAATGACATTATTGACTCACTGCAAGTACTTCCTGCCTTCGACAGAAAAAGCGTTCGGAGACTGAGAAACTTACGTCTGCCATAAAAAGATTGTATGATCCCAAGTCCGTCAACATTTTGTATTTTTCTTCCCTGGTGTAAACGCGACACCCTCCATCAGGATTGATGTACGAAGGGGTAATCGTTATCGTTGTTGTAGTTAATGTGGTTTTAGATGGTGGAGTTGGCGTTCGAGGACGTGACAGCGCAGGTAATTCTGGCGGGAGAGGTGGTTTGACGTCTGACTGACCACCGTAAGGGGCATAAATCGAAGGCTGAGTAGTTGTTGTTGTGGTAATTCCTGCTTTATATCCATCCTAAATACAGGCACCCATTTTATTTAAATGATCTGAATAATTTTGATGCTTAATACACCAGAACATGACTGTCCACGCCTAGACTCGGAATCACCAACGAAAAAAACCAAAAAAAGAATTATAGTTTCTTCTGCCGCCCTTTATCAAGCTTGTGTTTTGGAATGTGCGTATGTCCCCGCTAAAATCTGCTGCGACGAGGTGGTGTGTCCTATATGCAGATTTTCTTGTGCGAATTTTAAGCTTTGAAATTGCCTGACTAAAAAGTACTTACGAGGAATGGTCAACTTATCCAGCCATTCCAAATAAGCTGTCCATCATCGATTTCCTTGAAAGGCGGCTTGATCGCGCGAAATTAGCGGCTATGATTATTCTAATTACAAAGAAGAAGTACACTCACCGAAAACCCAGATAACGCGGGAATATAGTGTACCATTATTTTGATTACGAAGAAGAAGTGCATTCACCAAAAAATCCAAATGACTGTTCTTGAAACGTATTTGAGCATGGCCACAGAAACTTGACAAATCGCACGTTTAAACGCTCATGACCAGGGTTGAGCGTGAGGTCAGGAGCGCCCGACCTGGGGGTCTATTGGTGGTAAGACTGAAGGCGGGGGGGGGGGGGGTCGTAATCAAGAATCGAATTCGCTCAGAACTAAGGAAATACTACGATCGAGTAAGGTGAAGAAGAAAGCTTTAGACCGATGCATATCACAACTCCAATAGAATCGAAGGAATAATTGTCGTGACCGCATATTGATTGACTCCATTGGAGTTTCAGCCAAATTTGAATTTTCTATCCCTTACCTGACACTGCTAAAGGTATTATTCAAATAAGTTTTCAAATCTTCTTACTGCTAAGATCACCAAAGAAGATTGCTGTGTAAATTGAGTATAGTCTCTAATTAGCATATCAAATCACCTCTACTAGCACAACAGACCATCACCTATTTCATTTTCTATCGTCTAAAAAGCCTGAAATTCAAACATGATTAACTTTTGAAGGTGAAAGAAGTCAGCTTTTTTATACTCATAACAAAGTAATGTTTCCTATCATATCCTATGTTTCCTATCTATACTAGAAATTAGAATCCTTGGAAACGAAGTCTCCCCTGAATTTCGGAATTTTACGAAGTTCCCTTTCACCTACCTGCTTAGGAGAAGATGAAAACAAGAAAGATTTACTAGTTGAAAGAAAAGACATAAGATAAGAGTGAAAATCCAAATTGGAGCTGAATACTACGCATGCACAAGACTTTGGCATTAGAGCGCGATATTTAACAAAGCGAGAAGAAATGAAGACAAAAACAAAGGAAAGGCAGTGATTTGAAAATGTCTTCATGCTCAGGAATGATTTTCGACCGGGGAATCCGCCCATGCTGAAAAGATCCGAAACTTATGTGAAGTGACGAAAATATGTGCTCCAAACGATCTCAGATCGTCTGGTGGCCGTCTGGAGATGATCTAATTTTGGTAAAGGTATTATTCAAATAAGTTTTCAAATCTTCTTACATAATCTTTTCGCAAATAATTTTCTATACATACAGTTCAATTTTGGTGTCATCTGCTTCTGTGTGCGCTGTAAACAAGTAATTGTTCATTTTAGCCTTGCTTTCAAATCGCGCGCACTTTTTGCCTGCACGATAGACACTTTTTGCCTGCCTGCACTTTTTGCCTGCCTGCACGCATGTCAATTGTATGATAACCTGTCCGAAAAAATTGTATTCGACTAAATGGCGCTAATTCTTGGTGCTCGGTTCCAACTCGTCAAAAACGGTATCCCCTTTGCTGTTTGCTTCAAAAACAAAGTCGAGCCTGCTTCCAGACGATCTGTGCCGGGCCCTGATCGTAATATAGAGGAAGGAGGAGTTTTGGAACAAAAATATTACTCAGCAGCTTTCTTTGCCAGACAGGTTTGATATGAGTGTTTTATTCGGCCTAACGTTCGGCACCAATGCCCTCCTCAGAGGCCTGAAGGTCAGTCGTTCACCTTAATCTTGCACTTTACACCGGACCTCTCCTCAAAACTTCTATTCAATTCATTTCAAGCGGACATCAGCAAGTATCCAACTCACAAACCACTCACCAGAGGTCACGCTGACAATGTGCTTCGAGAGAGTGCCTAGCTTCACCCCATGACAGGTGTAAACGTTGTTCTTTTAAGGATCGATTTATTTAGTAGGCGTTATAGTTGGCAGTATGAGAAGAACGGCATGAGATCACTTGTGATAGAAAGCTGCTCATTTCTGCCATTCATTTTGGGCTCCCTGGATAGATTGAATGACGCCTCCAAGGCTTTGCGAGCATATATTTTGGTCTCTAAAGCTAAGACAACGCACATAACGTTGAAATCATTGCCGCAGTGATCAACTTTCTTACGTTTTCCAAAGGGGGCCGTTACGTTTTTCTGTTCCTACTCGCCAAGTGTTCGTTTATGCGTAGGAAGAGTGGTCGTCTGGGTTTCGCCGATATATGTAAAGTAAATGGCAATTATGAAATCCGAACAGACAGACGCGATCAGTGTTGCTTTTTAGGATTTGGAGGAACGTGACGCATTGACAGCACTAGCTCGTTACAGTAAGCAATTTGGTGAGTTGAATTTTGCGTAGCATTGCTAAAACGAACAGACAGTGCTTTATGGTTTTGATGGTGTGATTAATTCGTAGACCAATGCTTAACGCACCATATTTCGTGTTAATCAATACTTGTTCGGAATGCCCAGAAAAGAAATGCTTCATTCATGATTATTCATCGCATGTTCTATTACGTGCTGAATTACTTGCTGGTGAAAGGGTCTTGACTCTTATCAAAGTAGCACTTCATTACAAAAGACAGCTCATTCATCTTAAACGTGAACTTTGGGTAAAATGTCACTTTTTCAACATTGTGCAACTCCAAATTCTGATACCTTGACGGATTGATATCTATGAAGGAAGTTTCAATTACACTTACGTCTACACAAGCTGCAAGATTGCGTCGACGATGATGGATTTTGAGAAATGTTGAGAGCAGTGGCGTACCGAGGGGGGGGGGGCGCGCCCCCCCCCCGAGAATGGGTCGCGAAATTTTTGAAAGTTACTTACATGAGTTATAAAAATGTGCAAAAGACTTATTTATACTTGTAAGTAATTAAAATAATTTTTAAAAATTTTTAAAAATTCAATTTAGCCTTATAAAAAAATTTTTTTCGGGGGCGTGGCTGACGCCACGCCCCCTTTTTCTGAAATTTCGGGGTCCTGAGCCCCCGAAAATTTCAGGAAGCATACCAAAAATTTTTTCGGTGTGCGTGGCTGACGCCACGCAACTTCATCGAAAAAAAATTTTTGTCGCCCCCCCCCCCGAGCCGAAATCCTGGGTACGCCACTGGTTGAGAGTAGTACTATTGTACAACCTTCATTTTAACGGACCGGGCGCATCGCAGCGCATGTGCCTCGCAGCTGTTGCGCTCGAGTACTTCAAGCTTAAAAAGAGGATATAATTGAAATGCAACCACACTTATTCGGCGTTACATTTTGCGGACTGGTGTGGTGCCTAAGTGTAAAGTTTGAAGAGAAAAAGACATTTTACGAAGCTTAGGAATCGCAACCGTTCAGTTCTCGCCTTCTAATTTTGTGCCTTCTTCCAGGAATTCGAACTGAGCTAGACTGCGCATATCGCATACGCTCGTGACCGTAGTATCCCTGAAGCTTAGTTCGACGAACTATGAAACAAATCTGAAAAGCTATGATTATGACAACTGATTATGTTTCAAGAATTTTATATCTATAGACGAATGTTTGTGTTTATGGCTGTATGCATGTTCTTGATAAAAGTTCCATTTTCAAACCAATGCAGACCAAAGCACCCATGTACTTCGTGGAAAGACAGTTTTCGTAGGCCACTGAAGGCTACTGACACATCCCCTAACCAACCGAATTTTCCGCTATTCACTTGAGTGAAGCGTAAATGTAATTTTTGCTTTTTTAGAATATAAATACAAATAACATAAATATAAATACATAAAATATAATATTATAAATAAATAAATAAAAAATAAATAAATATAAATAATATAAATAAAATAAAAATAAATAAAATAATAATATATAAATACATGCGTTGTGCCCCAGTATGTACACTTTGACTCAACCGACCTGGCGGTTGGAAGGCAGGGCTTCGTGACCTAATAAAGGCTAGCTAATGTCCAGAGAGCACGTGCGCAAGATAGATGCAGAATGCGTTGAGGACGCGAGCGACCTTAACCGGGTTACAAAGCCTCGCATTTCAACCGCCAAACCGGTTTAATCAAAGGTCACACACTTTTTGATCGTTAACACCTCACTTCCCGCAAAGTCTGCCACTTTCAAGTGATATTTTGTAGCGCTAACTTCGACTTACAGTCTTTGTTAGATTCAAAATATCTCCAGTTACCGATTACTCTTCATTGTCGTAAGATTACGGCAGAAAACATACATCTAGCATACGGTGCCATCGTGAAACAGGTCGTATGAAAAGAAATTTCCACAAGATTTGGAAGTTATGTAGTGTTTTTACACATATCGATGACGCTGCTTTTATACCAATTTAAATCGTGCAGTCACATTTTTAAGGAACTCAAGAAAAATTGCTGTTACACCTTACCTTGTATCTAGCATATAAAAAAGTCACAGGAAAATGCGATTCCCATGTTTGAAGTCAGCGACTCACTTCACAACAATGAAAGATTCCAGATTGTTTGGTTCCTAGATAAAGCATAACATGCAACTCACTGGCTCAATACCCTGTTCAGAGGTTTTACGCGATAAAGAGAGATCGATGCAGCTAAAAAAGAAAAAAGAAAACCAGAACAAAGAATTGACGCCACCTGGGTAAAATTGGTGATATTTATTCTTTCTGTATTTCAAACGTGGCAGTGATGCTTGCCAGTACACTCTGTGCATCGAATATAGCTGCCCCTCAATTTATTCTCGCCCTTATCAAAGCAGGAAAGCGTGGCGGGGCACGCCGTCAACAGCGTCGCAACGGTAATATCCGGTCACCATGTTCTGCTTGAAGGACGAGAATCGACGTGCGGCTATGTTCAAATTTTTTTAAGCGAATTTTTCGCTTTAGAATCAATTCTGCATTGATTGTGGCTTGCATGGAGAGCCCGTTTAAGTAATTTTTGGAATTGAGACGCACCCAAACCTGTTCGGACATTGCTTTTGAGCATTTTGAGCGTTTGATTAAATGGAAGCAGTTTCGATTACGTTTTTGGGCTAAGCGTAAATCAGTCGAAGGAAGCTCTTGAATGCAATGAAAACATAATTTTCGCAAATCAGTTGTCATAAATTATGGTACGATCTAGTAAGTTGCAAGGGTGGATACATGAAATTCCCATGCCATCCAATCGTATACTTTTTATGAGGGCATAAAAGCTGCCAAATCTGTCTTCACTATCTGCAAACGCCCCTGA